CCTTTGTGTAGTCCCTTCTCACATTGAATAAGGCTGACCAATAGGATATTACAGAAATGAAGGTATAGAGTTTCTGAGGCTATGTTAAAAAAAGAAAAACATTGCTTTTGCCTTCCTCTTTTGGATCATTCAGTCTGGGGAGAAGATAGCTGTTGCATCATAGGAATACTCAAGCAGCCCTAAGCCCTACAGAGAAGTTCATGTGGTGCAGAAATGAGGCCTCTTGCCAGCAGCTGTGTGAATGAGCCATCTTGGATGCAGATCCACTAGTCCCAATAAAACCTTCAGATGGCACAGTTTCAGCCAATATCTTGACTACAACCTCAGTTTAGACCGTAAGCCAAAACTACCCAAATCCCTAACCCATAGAAAATGTGTGAGATAACACATATTTATTGTTTTGAGCTCTAAATTGGGGGAGGGGAGTGTAATTGGTTTTGGTTATACAACAATAGATAACTAATAAGCAACAAAACCAGAATTCAAACCCAAGATCGACTCCAAAGTTTGAGCTCCCAAAAGGTTGAAAGTTTCCCATTGAAATTTTTAGCAGTTTACCTTAGTTTACGTATTAAAGTGATATATTCTTTCAAAGTAAAGAGAGGAACATCAGTTCCTTTTAATTGCTTGGTCAGTGACTGTATTTACTAATGTTGGACAAGTTAGGTCTTGGGTTCAATTAGAAGTCAATAAATAACCATGTGCATTTTCTAGAAATTCTTAAAAAGTATTTCTAAAGAAGTCTGATTCATGTTTCAGAAGGAGTTTTTCTGTTAAGATTCCTTATTGAATGTTCTGTCTTATAAGATATTTAATGTGTACCATTCCACGTAATTTGTTCCTTCGTGTCCCTCTTCTGAAACTATTTTTATACAGTTTTAATTTCCCTAAGAGGAAAAATTAGGGAGTTGTTTCTGAACTATCCTTTACTAGAGTTGCAAATGATTTTAAGAACCACTTTAAAGTTCTACCCAAAAGTTCTATGTAAATTTCATATAAGTCATAATTTTTTTTCCTTTCTCAAATGTCATTTCAACCCTGGGGAAATAATTTTTTACCTTGAAAGATCTCAATATTTCAAACTAAAAAAAAACAAAAATTCATATCCCTTGGTCCAGATGACATGAGTCATCTTGGAACAAAAGAACATCTCAACTCAACTCTCAGATATGAGTTATTACCATTAAATGGGTCTTTCTTTGTTCAATAGAATGCTCTTTTACTTTGAGGTGGAGCACTGAACACTACCTCTGAGAAATGTCCTATTTCTCTCACTTAAAGTTTATCTCTAATTATGAAGATCTGAATTTTTTTTTTTACTTTCCATTCAACTTTATTCTTGTAGACATATCTAAATATAGTAAACGAAAATTATTGTAAGATTTTCCCATGGATATTTACATTGTTTTTCCTTTTCAGGAAAACTTCATACTCCAGCCATCCATTTCTAGCCAGGGAACACTGTAGGTAAACTTGTAAAATAAAGAGCTAAACATTTTAAGCTAAAATTTTAGAATTTCTACAAAGTCTTATAGTTGTAGGCAATCAAACGGAGAGGTAGGTTTTATTAAATGTCTTCTAGACCCAGGGTAGCAAGGCTATACAGTATGCACTAAAGCAGTACTAGAGAAACATATTGATGTATTTTAGTGCTAATTGATGTAAAGGGTCATTGGTCAATTTTGTGCAGTATATTTGATTTCTAAACAGAACATGACCAGTGATGATGGTGTTTCACAGATTTTATTTATGAATGCAATTGGAAAATGCTTAATCTCCTGCAGATTGTAATTTAATACATCTGTGGTTGAAATAAAGTTTATTTGTTATAGAAATCTTTCAAATATATTTTTGTAGGATTTATGGAAATAGAATGTTCAGTGCTCCCTCTCCTGGTTTTATCTTTTTTTTTCTTTTTTTTTAGAGGCCATCTCTCATATTTATTGATCATATGGTTGTTAACAACAATAAAATTCTGTATAGGGGACTCAATGCACAATCATTAATCAACCCCAAGCCTAATTCTCAACAGTCTCCAATCTTCTGAAGCATAACGAACAAGTTCTTACATGGTGAACAAGTTCTTACATAGTGAATAAGTTCTTACATGGTGAACAGTGCAAGGGCAGTCAATCACAGAAACTTTTCGGTTTTGATCACGCATCATGAACTATAAACAATCAAGTCAATTATGATTATTAGTTTGATTTTTATACTTGATTTATATGTGAATCCCACATTTCTCCCTTATTATTATTATTGTTATTTTTAATAAAATGCTGAAGTGGTAGGTAGATGCAAGATAAAGGTAGAAAACATAGTTTAGTGCTGTAAGAGGGCAAATGTAGATGATCAGGTGTGTGCCTATAGACTTAAGTATTAATCCAAGCTAGACAAGGGCAACAAAACGTCCACGATGCAGAAGATTTCTCTCAAAACAGGGGGGGGTGAGGTTCTAAGCCTCACCTCTATTGATCCCCAATTTCTCACCTGATGGCCCCCTGTGACTGTGCCTGTCTTAGGTTGTTCCTCCCTTGAGGAATCTTACCCATTTCTGGCTAACCAGTCATCTTCTGGGGCCATACAGGGAAATGTAAAGTTGGTGAGAGAGAAGCAATATTGTTTGAAAAGGTTAGCTTTTTACTTCTTTGCAGATTTTGCCCTGTGGCTTCTATGCCCTGCATTTGTCTTGAGGTATCTTTACCACTTGGAAGAATTACGATACTCGGTAATTTCGATATGAGGCACGAATTCTACTTAGGGGTTGTAATTAGGAAGGAAGAAGAAAAGCTATAGAAGTAGCAGACAGAAGAAAACATGGGAAGGTTGATTATTTCTTTGACATATGTTCTTGTAGTATAACATAAGCATGTATAGGTTTTAAACTACTAATTAAATTGCATGCACACATTAACATAATAGGAATACAGCTACATAACCAAAGCAGACCTACAATTACCAGCCATGTCCAGTGAAACCAAAAAAAACAGTTAGGCACCCTAGGCATTTGTGAAAACTTATCAATGATATGATGGATATTGTCTAACTGAATTTGAATAGTTTGAGAAAAATCAGACAAATTAAAAGAACACATTCCTGGGAACTGTTCACATCCCATATGTTCTTTTAACAGTAGATAGTCTATAGTCGCAAGATTTTGGAGTGCTGCAACTTGCACTTCTCCTAATTCTTGGTTGAGTTCTGACAGTATAGATCTAGTCAAATTTGTTGTTTTACTGTATACACAGGCCAGCTTAGATATCTCCTTCTTCATTGCAATGGCAAGTCCAGGAAGTGGTGGGATGAATGCAGCTACAACTGCAACAGCACCAGGATCTTTGTTGAAGTTTTTGATGATTATCTTCTGGAATGACTCTTCCAGAGAATGTTGATGTTGGTGAAGATCTGAATTTTAAAAATACAGTTAGATAATTCTTTGCTTAATGAAAACATTAATCACAGGATATATTTTGATAGTAGGATCTCTATAACTCTATTTACAAATATTTTTATATACAGATTTAATAAAGTAAAATATAGCTCATGGACATGTATTGGTCCACATTATACTGCAAAAACACTATTGCTTACCTTAAGCTTCTTACAAGGGATTTTATTTTTCCCATTTCTTATTTGATATGTTGCTTCTACCCTTGCCCTTCCAGCTTTGAAATCACCATATGTCCAATAATTCAAGTCTTCTACCTCATTTTAGAGAAGGCTTCATAATTTACCTTAACCTTAGGTTGTTTTTTTGTGTGTATGGAAACCATATGCCATGTCATCTCAGAAAGATAGGTAGGTAGGTAGATAGATCATCAACTTTTATTGAAGAGAGAATTAATTAAATTAGAGTTAGAGATGAGATTTTATATTTTGTCAAGATACACATAATATAAAATTTACCGTTAGTGACATTTAGTATATTCACAATGTTGTGCAACCATCACTAATACCTAATTCCAGAGCATGTTCATCAACCCAAAAGGAAATCCATACTCGTTAAACAGTGACTCCTTTTCTCTCTCTCCCCAGTTTCTGGAAACCACCAGTCTGTTTTCAGTCTCTATTAATTTGCCGATTCTGGATATTTCCTATTAGTAGAATCCTATAATATGTGGCTTTTTGTGCCTAGCTTTTTTCACTTAGCTTAATGTTTTCAAGGTTCATCCATGTAATAGTACTTCATTCCTTTTTGTAGCCGAATAATATTCCATTTTATGGACATACTACATTTTGGCTATCCATTCATCAGTTGATGCACATTTGGGTTGTTTGCACCTTTCATTCACAGCTATTGTAAATAATGCTGTGAACAAAAACATTAGGTACATGTTTTTGTTTGAATACTGTTTTTAATGCTCTTGGGTATACACCTAGAAGTGGAATTGCTGGGTGATGTGGTAATTGAGATGACACATTTTTAAGCGAAATCTTAACCAGACCAATAAATCATGCCATTGTTTTATGGAGGGAGTCATATTGTTATTTTTATTTTGTTATGTTAACAACTTTTATGGACTCCTACACTTCTCTAGGAAATGTGGTATGGGAGCTTATACTAGGAGACTACAAGATGGCATCACCAAACCACGCCCCACATGAGAAACTAACCATATTTTATGCAAAGTGCCCACTGATATAAAGGCATTTGAAGGCCCCCAACTCTAGAACGTGCATTGGTATACACCTTCAGACAATGAAGGTTACAGGCAAGTAACCAAAGTGTTTCCATATAGCTTTGGAGTCAGATAGACCTTGTCAAATTGCAGACAGTTGCCCTTGGGCCACTCACTAAATTTCTCAGTATCTAAGTTTCCCCATCTGTAAAATGGGGGTATTAATCCCTGCTTCTCAACATTGTTATAAGGAATGGTCATAGCCTGGTATATAGTTGGGGCTTCATAAATATTAGTTCTCATTTCCCCATATTTTCTTACACTCTTCAAATTAACTCATCTTCAAAACAGCAGTATTTTTCTTTTCGTTTTCTCTTTCAGGTTAAAATTAAACTGCCAAATACAAACTCTTCTGACATTAAAATTGATATTCAGGAAATGACTCTTGACCTTCGTACTCCTCATAAGTGAGTAAAACTTGGAACTAGAATGTGTTATAATATTAATGACTCTTTAGTCAATATTCTTTTTAAAAGTATACTGTTATTTTGCATCACCCTTAAAGTCAGGAGAAAAGTAAAAAAGTCAGTTAATCATTCAGATATTTGATATACTTAATATAAACACAAGTATATTTGGAAATACTTAATTTTTTTCTACTTTGCACCCATACATTTGGAGTAGGCTGAAACCAGCAAAACAGTCCTTGACATTCACATATGGTTCGCTTAGCTGAAAAATAGCTAGAGGTGAAAATTCCTTAAGTTGTAAGTCGTGCATGTGTTTTTTTGTACAGTGATGGGATAAGAGAAGCAATATCTTTTAAACATATTGGGTATTGTGGAGGCTGAAAGGTTAAATTAGATTATATTCATCTAAAAATCATCAAAAATGTCTTATTATCAATTACTTAAAACAGAAATCCCAACAGCTAATTTATCACTAAATTTTCAAGTTCTGTGAATACATTTAAAAATAATACAGATGATAGTGGAATAATTCAATTAAACATTTTGGTATTTTCAAAATAGTCTTATTATAAGACAGGTTCACATACAGCAAAATTCTGATATAAATTGTTTATCCTGAAACCTGGATTAATCAGTCCTGTCTCTCAAAACTAACTCTATAAAGAGGGAATCAATAGAACCTGCTGTGTGCTAGATAAAATATCTAAGTATCTCACTGCTTTGTTCACTTTTCATCTGGATGTATAGCAGTGAGCACATTTGTTGATTGCAGTGGTTCTTTCTCTATAACTCATAAACATTTCAAACTGGGTGTGGGAAGCAGTCAGCTGCTGGCACATTTTCTTCCTTCCATTATCAGTACGTATAATTCTTCTTTGTTGATATTAGGGCTTTAAGAAAATAAAAAGTAGATCCATCATACAAGACTTCTATGTGTAAACAGCCCAATATACATACACAGCTTAACTTTGATTTCTACAGTAGATGCATTTAACCCAAAATGGTCTATAGATGAATATATGTCAAATATATTCTCATTATTTATATAATTTCAAAAATGTCTTCTCACGAAAAAAAAGTCTCATGTCTCAAAATTACATTGACTATTCCTACTATCCACCTCAAAAAATATTGGAATTATTTTATTGCATATTATACAGTAACTCTTCCACACCACCTTTGCAAGGATAGTCAGCTAAATGAACAGTCAATCTTCCATGATATTTGTGTGCTTGTTAAAAGCACACACATATCAACACACCATGGAGTTAATTTCCATTTTGCTAGCAGTTCTCCATCAATCTTCAGGCAGTTGCTTTGGCTATGCTGTCATTCCAGATATCTATCAGAGCCCACCAAATGAAAGACTCACACAGAGATACTATTTCATATAGAACATGGGCTGCACTGTGATTGTTGGATTATACTATACTTATATTAAATGCTCAGTGCAGAGAGGTACTGCATTTTAACAAAAATTCATGAACTAAGATAGGAGGCAGAAAATAGAATTAAGGTTTTTATTACTTTCCCTAAACACTTGCGTTTTGTTTGGAGCCATGCTATTATCTGAAATTGTATAATTGGAAACATGTCTTATTTTTGAAACTACTAATATTCACATCTACTTTTAGTTTCTAACTTTGATACACTGTAACACTATGTTTACTGGCTCCAAGAGAAAATGAGAGGACATTCTGTTCTTGTATTGTAAGGCAGAACAAGTGAATTTATTTTAACTGAATGAACCAGTAACATCAGTCAAATGATCGTCAATTGCATTAGAATTATTAGTGAAATTCAGATTTTTAGCATTATTCAGCCAAAATAGATAAAGGAGTTTCCTGAATTCTTCCTTTTTTAAAAACATGACTGTTTTGGTATGTATATTCCTAACATGAAGCAGATGAAAAGAAGGAAGACAGGGGAAATGGGATAATTTCCTAGATCCTCCTGACTTTTGTCTCCATATGGGGTTTCATTGTTTTTCAGAGTGGGTTCTAAGAATGTCATAAATGAATTCCTTGAATGCTATAATAAAAACACATTGTAAAAAAATAAGTATGAGTTGATTTTTGGTTGAGGTGCTGCTTTAGATTACTCTCATCTTTGCTGTGCTCCTTTAATTCAGATCAACTGAGAGACGGATGTTCAAAGACACTGATACCTAATGAAAAGTTTTCTAAATGTAATAGTGTGTTGCAGCTCAGTAGCTATTTCTGCACTTTCCTTGAAAAAAATGCCATGTCTGATTTTAACCCAGATATGTAAATCAAATAATTTATCAACTATGTAAAGTAAAAACTTCATTATATGAATATGCACAGTACAAGATTGTCCTTTATTTAAAATCTCTTGCAAGCCATATCAACTTGAATTCTCTAATATAAATGAAAGCATGTAAGTCTCTAAACTACAGCTGGATGTATAGATAATTTTTTCCCTTTTACGTTCATATATTATTACTTGCATTTAAATAATTCCTAATGAAGATTAACACAGATAAACACTTGAGCAATGTCTAAACTGTGGCTTTTTAAAAAGCAAATATATTGACAATGTAAAGGCAGAGGAATTAAGTTTCAATGTTTCTTCATATTTTATACTACTAATCTATTAGTTATTCAACTCTTTTTGTGGCAAACTATTTACTTTTAATTCACTTATTTATTGACTGAACAAACAAAGTCTTCTGCTAGATGCTGGCAGGGGCAGGGGGCACGAAGATAAGATACAGTCCTGTCCTTTAATTACTAATACATGGATAAGTATTTGTAGAATTTTATTTTGTTTAAATATAAATCTCAGTTCAGACATCAGTCAATAAAACACAAAAGACAAAAATACTTCCCTTCTCCTAAGAGCCTAAATAAGTCACAGTTTCTATTTTTCAAATTTTTAGTATGTTAAGCCATACAATTAAGGACTAGACAGAAATGCAGGGATAAATGGATCATTCCAATGGCCACTGTCTCTCTTGAATTTATTTCTCTCTGGACAGAGAAGTGTACATTATCATTGGAACTCATTTTCAGCTGATTTATAGCTGTCTTTTAGTGCAATGAAGCTACCACCACTGAGCTCTGCTTTCTTTCTAAGTGAATATATTATCGTTTGTAGAATAAGGGATAAAACAAATCTAACTCTAGCATAACCTATAGTGTAAACAACTTTTAATGCATGAACTGTAAACTTTTTCCACCCACTTCTTTTCTGAGATGCCAATTATTACAGGATATATTACAATGCATTGTGGGATTAAAGATGGTGGCATGAGAGGTGAGACAGAGACTTACTCCCAAAACCAAATATAATATGAAAATATACTTAATACAACTAATCCTAAAAGAGCAACAGGAAAGAAGGCTGCACCAGACTGCATACACCCCCAGAAAAGAGCAGACCTCATGGATCAGGGTATCATACCAAAGCCATGATCTGGTGGGACCCAAGCCCTTTCCCCACCCCAGCTCACCAGCAGGAAGAAGAGAAATGGAGCGGGGAGGGGGTGGAAGCCTACGACTACTGAACACCCAGCCCTGGAGATCTGCTCTGGGAGCACAAACCTACATTGCATGGTACTCTGGAGATCTGTGGAGTGGGAAAGCTAAGAGAGGCAGAATACTTGGAGAGACTGAGATTCCAGCTGCTTGTGTAAAACAGGGGTCTACATCCTGCTGCTCTGGGACAAAAGAAAGGCAGGCAGTCGGAGAGACTTCCTAACAGCAAGAGAGCTGCTAAAGGGGCAAGGATTGCACAGAGCTTGCTGCTCAGGAGAAAGAATAACTGGATAAAATTGTCCAGGTGCACTCTGCCCAGCAGGTTGGGAACTTTCAGAAACTTCATGCGCTCCATCCTCCTGGCTGGCTATGCAGCTCTGAGGCCCCCCACCATGATATGCAGCCTGCCAGCACCAGCTTGCAAACCAGCAGTCCCTGCCCTGGTGTCAGGCCAGCCAGAGGGGGGCCCTGCCTACAGCAGCTACTAACCCAAAGCACAGAGGCTTACACCTGTGCTCTCGGCCCACTGGTTCTGACAGCAGAGACAGGCAGAGCAGCCAGGAAACAGGAAATAGCTCTTTTCTCTCCCCAGGCATCAGCACCACTCCCCTGTGACCCCCGACATTGCTCCAGTGGCTGAGCAGTTCCAGAGAGTAGAACTTCTGGGCACTAGAGGATGCCACATACAAATGGAAACATCAAAGGAACCTGGTTCAACCCAAAATCCCACAAACTCCAGAAAAAGGCTCAAGTAAAACTGAACTCATCAATCTTCCTGAAAGAGATTTCAAAATAAAAATCATAAACATGCTCATGGAGGTTCAAAAAAATTTACAAGAACTCAGGAATTAATTTAGGATGGAGATTCAATCAGTAAGAAATACAGTATTTGAAATGAAATATACAATGGAGGGATTTAAAAGCAGATTCAATGTAGTAGAAGAGAAGTAAATGGAACATAAATTAGAGAAGAGGAATACAAAGAAGCTGAGGCACAGAGAGAAAAAATGATCTCTAGGAATTAAAGAATATTGAGAGAAATGTGTGACCAATCCAAATGGAACAATATTCACATTATAGGGGTACCAGAAGAAGAAGAGAGAGAAAAAGGGATAGAAAGTGTCTTTGAGTAGGTAATTGCTGAAAATTTCCCCAATCTGGGGAAGGAGATAGTCTCTCAGGCCATGAAAGTCCACAAATCTCCCAACACAAAGGAGCCAAGGAGGACAACACCAAGACATATAATAATTAAAATGGCAAAGATCAAGGATAAGGGCAGAGTATTAAAAGCAGCCAGAGAGAGAAAAAAGATCACATACAAAGGAAAACCCATCAGACTATCATCAGACTTCTCAACAGAAACCTTACAGGCCAGAAGGGAGTGACATGATATATTTAATGCAATGAAACAAAAGGGCCTTGAAACAAGAATGCTCTACCTGGCAAGATAATGATTCAAATTTGAAGGAGGGGATTAAACAATTTCCAGATATTCAA